ACCCAGTGGATAAAAGTGTTGGTTGATTGAACCTAAAAGCAACTTGATCTAAAGAGTTATGAGTTTAATCTTGGGCCTCAGCACATGAAACAAAAACTTGGAGAGTTAAGTTATCAAGGGGAATTAACTAAAACTGAGATATCCAAAAACATGGCATGTGGAATTAGAACAATCTACCCCCATGGACTAAATAAAGGGTTAAGTTCAAAATTCCAACAAATATCCCCTGAAGAGGGCTGGAGCATACAATGGCTGAAACATCATGAATATGGCAATAAAGTTGAGGACAACAGTCTGAACAGTGTAAATAGAGTAAATAGTTACAATATATCATATCAGAAATACGGACAGATCCTGAAGAAAGACAGAGTGTACAACAACCAAAATGTCATAAATATAGCAACAGCAATGAGGACAACAGTCTGAACAGTGTAAACAGAGTAAATAGATATAATACCTCAGAAATATAGACAAATACTGAAGAAGGCCAGAGTGTACAATGGCAGAAATGTTGTGAATATGCCAATAAAGATGAGGACAACAGTCTGAACAATGTAAATAGAATAAATAGTTACAATACCTCATCTCAGAAAAATAGGCAAATCCTGTAGAAGACCAGAGCATACAACTGCTGAAATGTTGTGAATATGGCAATAAAGATGAGGACAACAGTCCAAACAATGTAAATAGTGTAAACGGTAACAATACTCTATCTCAGAAATATAGACATAGCCTGAGAATGACAGAGCATACAATGGCCAAAATGTGAATATGGCATCAAAGATGAGGACAACAGTCTTAACAATGTAAATAGAGTAAATAGTTACAATACCTCATCTCAGAAATATAGACAAATCCTGAAGAAGGCTGGAGTGTACAATGGTTGAAACGTCATGAATATGGCATAAAAATCAGGACAACAGTTCGAACAATGTAAATAGAGTAAATAGTTACAATACATCATTTCAGAAATATAGACAAATACCTATTTCTTGATAATCTCTTTGTTTTTTTGTTTTCAGGTGGTTAAATAAAATTTGCAGCCTCCGGAAAATGATAATAATTAAACAATACCAACTGCTCATAATGTAAAACTCAGCTGCAACACTCAATAAAACATCAACTTGGCATTTGTAGTAATACTGTTAATGTCAGAACTATGCAGAGATGGTTTGAGAAATTTTCTTCAACAGATGAGAGCATTAAAAATGAACCAAGAGGAAAATCTAATTCAACCATAAAAAAATTTGATCAATTGTATGCATTGGTTTGACAAAAATGAAAATAAGTCAATACTGCAATAAAATTAATGATATGAAAATTTTAAATAAAAGAAACAACCTAGACTAGTGAATAAAGATGGTACAATTCTGCTTTATGGCGATGAATACCTTCACAGTCAACTGATGAAAGGTTGCACATCCCTGGTAATGAGATTGCAGAGCATCCAGCTTATTCACCAAACATCTCTCCGACAGGTTATTATTTATCTAAACCAGTGATTCTCGACTACTATGCTGTGGCACACTAGTTTGCTGAATAATTCTCTTATGTGTGCCACAAAATATATATATATATATATATATATATATTATTTACATTATTCAGACTATTGTCCTCATCTTTGTCGCCATATTTATCACAACGTTTTGGCCGTTGTACGCTCCTTGAGGACACATGGCACAGTGGATAAAGGTGTTGGTTAGATCCAGTGACAGGACCCAAAGAGTGTGAGTATCAATACCCGGTTAAGGCAATGGAGAACTTTCAGGGGGAAATTAGCAGGAGATAACTGATAACTGACATCCATCAAACATGGCACGTGGAACTAGAACAGTCTACCCCAGTGAGCGAAATAAAGGGTTCAGTTCGACATTCCAACCACCTGAAGAAGGCCAGAGTGTACAATGGCCAAAACGTTGTGATAAATATGGCGACAAAGATGAGGACAATAGTCCGAATAATGTAAATAATGTACATAATACCTCATCTCAGAAATACAGACAGATATATATATATATATATATATATATATATATATATATATATGTGTGTGTGTGTGTGTCTGTGTGTGTAGAAGTAGTAATAGTACAGCATTAGTATTTGAATAAATGAATAAATATTAAACTTTTTTCTCAAATAATTTTTTCAGTATTAATTTTTTAAAAAGTATTTATATTTTTTTAAGGGCTCAAGATAAAACATTCAATGGTACTCATTGATACATTTTGTATTTCAATACAAAAGGAATATCCCACATTAGCTAAAAAGGTTTTATCACTTTTATTGCAATTTTCTACTTCTTATTTATATGAATTAGGCTTCTCAACCCTAACTAATATAAAATATTAGAAGCATAAATGACTACAATCAACTGAGGAAGAAATGAGTGTCTGCTTATTGCACATCTGACTAAACATTGTAGAAATCGCAAAAAAATACTGGCCACAGGCTTCACCCAAAATAAGCTGCACAAATAGTTAATTAGAAATATTGAAAGTTCATATTTGTGTGTGTGTTTTTATGGTTTTATTTATGAATTAAATATTTTTAAAGTTCTAAAATTTGGCTAAGTGTGTCGTTGCTTAAAATGGTTGAGAAACACTGATCTAAGCCTTTTGGACTTTCTATACGCGATACAAGATTCTCTTATAGTGAAGTAGTTGAATCATTTCAACAATTTATTAAAGCAAAAGCCAAAGGATAAACAGCATAGAGTTTTGTTAGAAGAAAACCATAGAACAAATCAGATATGAGTTTGATTAAAAGAAAGTGCATTTTGATTAAATAAAAGTGCACTTTAATTAAATAGAAGTCTTTTCATCAAAATACATTTCATATGGAACAACCCAATAATGAATAGTTTCAGACCAATAAATAATAAATACATTATCATGAAATCTATTCGTAATTGTGCTTCCAAGAGTAATAAAGATTAATTTTGGTTACAATATGGCATTTCAGATTTTGTATTAATAATAATAATAAAGATTGCTGTTGGTTTCCAAGTATACTCATCTGCTAGGGTGGCTAGTTAATTCCTGTTGCAGACGCCTGCTCAGGCACATTTGTGTTGACGAAACAAAGAAACACCCACAATATTGTGGTTCATATGGCAACTATGCTGAGCAAGCTTTACTTACAGTTTCTGGATAAGAGCACACAATCTGGTATGATCAACAGTTGAAGTAGTTTCACAACTTTGGTCACGATGACTTATGATTTTGTGCTAGCACAACCACTGACAGTTTCCAAATAGTTTTGTCTGCTTCGTTTCATCCACAAGACATGGTTCAACTTGTAGTATGAATTTCAGTCACTTCTCAATAGTACCACACACTGGGATCATCTCCCAAAGATGATACTATCAAGAAGACAAATTGACCACAGTAAGATTCAAACCTATCTCTCAAAGCCAGAATGCTAATTTTTGACCCACTTTTTCATGCAGCAACATTTTGTACTATTAGATAATTGTTTATTTATACATTACCTCTGTGGTGACATTTAGTGGGTATGAAATTTGTTCAAAAATAATTGCTGCAATTAGTGCATGAAATATGCATGAAAATGTAACAATTATTATGGGACACTTAATAAATTATATTTGTTTGTTCAACAAGGATATAATACACTACCTTTGTCCTATAAAAGATGTTCCATTTATATACATGCTTCACAAAAATGTAGCAATTATTATGGGACAGATGTAGTAATTTATATTTGTTCAACAAGGTTATAATATACGACCTTTGTCAGATAAAAGATGTTTCATTTGTATACACATTTCATACACAAAATATACCAATTATTATAGGACAGATGTAGTAATTTATTTGTGCAAAAAAGGAGTCAACCATAGTCAGGATCATCAAGTCAATGTAAATGGTCCTTTCCTTAGCTGCATAGTATGTGCTTCACCAGTGCTACATACAGTTTTGAATTCAAAGTTTTCTGTAGATTGGTTGTCTCAAGGCTATAAAACCCAGTCTGTTCTCCTATTTACCCATAGCTGGGGAGCATAGAAGAGTTAGATTCAGACCTTTCCCAAAAGTGAATGTAATGAACTTGACTAGAATTCAAACTTGGCTCTCTGATTCCTCAACCTGATCCACTATCCATTACTCTATCATTTTTGTTCAACAAGGTTATAATTTATGACCTTTGTCTCATAATTATGATCAAGAAAGCACCCATGTGGAAGCATGTTCCACAAAGTGGCAATTCTTGAGAAAAAAGTCTCCCTTTTGTATGCAGTAAGGCAGAATGGCTGCATTTGATATCTACTGAGGCTCTATTATTTAAGAATTTTCATGTGGATATTCTTTTTGATTCGTGCAAAACAGGAATGAGTAGTGAGTTTGATCCTCACTAGCTGCTCCTTACTTTCAGCCTTGTGCTACAACTAAGCTTCCATACAAAGCAGAAATATCAGTCTCTTATTGTTGTGTCATAAATAAGAAAGGTGGACACATATAGAAAAGAAGTAGTAGTTTATTCCAGAGAATAATATGGTACATTGTTGAGAACACAGACTACTAATGTAATAAACAGTTACTCATTAACTCCTCTAAGAGAGAGTACTGTTTAAATAGTCTTAGACCAGTCCATCTTGTGGCAGTGTTCAGCTACTCCACAACACTTACTGAAGCCTAAAATTTTGCAAAAAGAGCTTTATCATTAGAAGCATATAAAGTACTACATAAGTCAAGAGGTCCACTCAGAAACAATTGTCAAATTTTCTCTGTTTTGCAACAGTTGATTATAAGATTGAAAATATAAGAAAATAAAGCATTTTTAATACTAAAATTCATCCAATATAAAGCTTGAGAGGCATTCAAGGTAGAGGGTTACTCTTAAGATGGGAATGATGAATGAGTTGTGTGATATGAATGAAAGAGGAGATGGTAAAAAGTGAGAATAGATAATGATTGATCTTTGACATGAAGTGGTTAGTGTCTAGGGAAGCACCCACACAAGAGTCTGTTCTAGAAAGTGGCAGGTCTTGGAGGTGGAAGAGATAACTGATAAAAGGCTCCCTATTGTATTTAGTAAAACAGAATGATCACATCAAATATCTAGAGATGATCTTTTATTTAAAAATATCCACTTGAAAATTCAATCTTATTGATTCATATGAAGCAGAAATGTCAGACAGACAATCTCTTATTGATGCCTAAAAATTACAAAAAAGGGTTTATTTACATTCTGACTAAAGTCCTCGTTTCAGCCATTGCACCCTCTGGCCTTCTTCATATGTCTGTCAATCTGGGTAACCTTCAAAGAATTTCAAACTAAACTCTTTATTTAATTTCTGGAAGAGATTGTTCCTGTTCTGCTGAATTGACTCCTAAGAGGATGCTTTCCCGATCACTATAATCTTTACCTGTTCAAGTTTACGGTTAACTGTTATCTTCACCATATATCCACATAAACTGTGCCTCTTACTCTATAACCCTCTACCTCGGGTGGCTCTTTGGATTTGTACAGAGTGAACACCATTGTAAAAAAAATGTCTAAGGTGATCTTTGATTGAGTGATTAATTTTCTATGGCTTATCAATCATTTGCAGTTTATTTAAATCCAGAAAATATTTTTAGATTCTAAGAATTTTTTTGAGGTAGTTTAGTGAAGCAAATCTTACTAACTAGCCCATAGTTTGGGGACAAGAAGTGGATTCATACATTTTCCTAGGATATTTGCATGCAAGAGAATTGGAACTCAGCTCTCTGATTAATAATCCCAATTACACCATTACGCACATCCAAGCTTGCAGTACCAGATATTCCAAATCGATCACACATCTAGGTACTGACCAAGCTTGATATTGCTTAACTTTGACTAAGGAGATCTCATCATTTATTTTAGTACTGCTCAATGATTTCTAACCCTTTTTCCAATTAGCCTAAATCTGTATTACCTGGCCCAGGGATTGAACTCATAATTAGCAGGACACCAAATTCATTAACCAATTTAATCCACTATTCTAGTGACAGATGTTCAAAGAGAAATTAGAACTATTTAATTCCTCAGATGACAGTGTTGTTTAAAAAAGGCTTTTAGTTAATATTCTTAAAATATTATTGTTCTGTTTTGAGCTGATCCTCATGATTTCCACTCCTTTCAATATGTAACACTGCCTTTTATCAAATCACTAAAGAAAACATTGCTTAACAATTAAGCAAACACAATTCCTCTCAGCCTATTCAAACAAACAATACAACAATTAATAAATGAGAGCTGATCATCTGCCATGTGTTAATTAACAAAGCAGAACCTGTTAATGAAGTGTTCTTAGCACTGACCCTTGCCAATAGCAAGCCTGTTGCTACTCTATTGCTATTTCCATGGAAAATGTTCAGATGAACTACATTTATTAGCTTCACCAACTCTAACCATCACAGCTAAGACCCGCCCCACTCTGTACACTGAGGCAAACCACCCACATTCTCTTTGTATTCAATTAATAAGAAGTAAGTTTGACACAAACAGGTTCTTCCAACACACTGATACATTGTGGAACCAACATCCAAGAGAATGCTTTACTGCCCACTACAATCTTAACTTCTTCAAGTTTAGGGTTAACTGTTATCTTTACCACATATCCTTATAAAATGCACTTCTTACCTCCTCTTCTTATGCTCCATACAACAACCTCATTCAGTAACACTCTACTTTGAGTGTCCCTTAACATTTTCCAGTCTAGCGTTGACTGTTATCTTTCCTACATATCCTCATAAACTGCACTGTTTCTCTCCATACAACAACCTCATTCAGTAACCCTCTATCTTGAGTGGCTCTTAACCTCCTCAAGTCTAATGTTAACTATTATCTTTCCTACCTTTTGTGGCTCTGTATTCAGTTTTGTATTGGGGAACATTAGTAGGAAAAAAAGTAGAGAATTATGTTCTGGGTGATGATAATGTATTGAAAAATTTTTTGGGATAGTAAAGTGAGACCCCACCTTGGGAAATAATACTGTGTCTTGTTTAGCACTAATGTAAATTATAACAATGGTGCCATGGCAAATATATATATATATATATATATATATATATATATATATATATATATATATATATATATATATATAAAACCTAGTTAGCCTAACAAGAGGGTAGATACAAGTGACATTTTATTGGGAAAAATAGCCACAGTAAAATAATAAAATTAAAAATATATATATATATATATATATATATATATATATATATATATATATACACACACACTACTGTTCACCCAATAAATGGCCCAAGAGCCACTCAAGGTAGAAGGTTACAGTTACTGTATGGTGTTGTATGGGCATAAGAAAAGGGAAGAAGTGAAGTTCATGGCACTATACAAGAAAGATAACAGTTAACCCAAGACTTGAAGAGGTGAAAACTGTAGTGATTGGCAAAACATCTTGCTGGGAGCTTATTCCACAAAGCAGCAGGTCTTGGGAAGAAACAGTCTAAGTGGAATTTAGCTTTTTAATGAAATAAGAAGGGGAAGGGGATGATTCATCCTGGTGACCTAGATATACCGAGCAATACATTTTAAGGTGTTAATTAATCTATCATACTTTTCTGTTTCATATGACATTAATTAATTACTTTTAATTTTTGTTCAAAATTTCTCATGTTATTCACAAGAAAATATGGTAATTACTGATTACTGACAATCCCCTCTCAGTTTTCTGGATTAGTTTTTACAGTGTATAAAATCATTAGCATGCATTTTCATTAAAATTTAATTAAAAAGAAAGTGTATAGAAAGTGCTTTGATTGCGAGATCATCCATGGCAAATTTGTATTTTTGTTCTTACAATATTTCACCTTTCTTGGCAGATTTTCTATTACCACAATGTAGAATGCTTAATAATACAGTAATAATAATATAGTTCATTAAAATTTAATTAAAAGGGAAAGTTTATAGAAAGTGCTTTGATTGCTAGACCATCCATGGCAAATTTGCATCCATGTTCTTACAAAATTTCATCTTTCTTGGCAGGTTTTCTATTACGACAATGTGGGATGCTTAATAATAAAAGTGATAAAAACAAAGGCATTATCATCTTGCTTGGGGTGAAATGATTTAAAGAAAAAACAAAAAAAATATATCTTCATACAATAATGGCCACTTAATGTGATCTGTAATTTTACTTACTTTTCCAAAGGTAACAGTTTTATTTATATTATTTACACTCAGACTATTGTCCTTATTGTTGTTGTCATGAAAACATTTCAACCATCATGCCCTCTCTACCTGTACCTGTTGCAGCATTCAACCAGTTGGTTGAGTCGGCTCTGTCAAATGAACCCACCACATCCAAATGCAAGCTGTCCACACATAGCAGAGATTATATTTATTTGGACATGCAAATCCATAGTAGGTGTTTCAGTGGGAATTTGAATTCACGGGCGGTCTCCAGCTGCATGTATACACACTTTAGGATAGTGTGATCTGGTTTGAATTCAGAGTTTCCTTCTAGACTCTTCTAGACCAGTTGCCACCCAAGGCTATAGAACCCAGTCTGGCCAGCTATTTTACCCATAGCTTGGGGGAGAAGAGATGAATTCATACTTTTCTCAAAGGTATTAGTACTTAAGTGAATATAACAAACTTGACTGGAATTTGAACTTGGCTCTCCAATTCCCCAATCCAAGCCACTAACTATTACTACCTCTGGCTCTCAATAAGTGCTTGTTAATCTGGGTAACCTTCAGGGAATTAAGCTTTTTATTTAATTTACTGGGGTAAATTGTTCTAATTCTGCTGAGAATCCCCTATCAATTAAATACAAGGTTCAGTTCATAATTCCCTGAAGGTTATGCAGTGTGACAAGAACCTGATGAAGACTGGAGAGCACAACTGAAACATTGAGATAACAACAACAAAGATGGGGACAATAGTCTGCATGTAAATAACATCAATTCCTGATTCCAAAATTCAGAAATATAATAGCTTTATTCTACTTTAGATCTCTGACCCCTTTTTGTATAGCTCCCATAGGATCTGCATTGTTCATGATTCATCTCGATTAGGGGCCCTACAGCATAAGCTCCAGTAATCTCATCATAGATTCACCAAAGGTGTATGAAAAAAGTAAAACAGTTCAAAGAAATTCTCTAGGGATTAGTAAGACTATTAATAAAGGAGTAAATGAAAAGCAAACGCTTTGTTATATCAAGGTAGGCAAACACTGGGCATTTAAACAAGAAGATGGAGGTAGATTTGTGCTATGACATTCATGACTTGAAGTCATTTGTGAAGCTGGAGGAGATACAGCCCCCACCAATGTTAGGGGGGTTTATTAAAAGCACAGACATAAAGTACTACCTACCACTGCAAGTGGTGTAGAGCTTGGATCTATAGCAATGGTAGGCAAACAGGGTACCTCTAGTGGCGCCTCATTTGATAGGGTGGTGGCAGCTGTCGACTGCAGAGCGTCTGCAGCGGACATGTGAACCTCCAGTAAAAGACAGACCAACACGAGACTGGAAGAGATCAGAAAGTATAGTTTGTCATTATAAGTCAACAGCTTTATTTATCTTTTTGTAAATTAAAAAATAAACTATGCTAAAAACTGATAAAATGAGGGGAAAATATGTGAAGACACTGCCTACTTACGTTTTGAAATGATTCGGTTTGATTTATACATGAGGTCTGCCCCAAAAGTATCCAGCTATATTGAATATATTCATGATACTACTTGGCAACCAATGAGAAGGGACCTTACTGTGCATGCATAAATAGATACTCTCAGCCACCTTTCACAATAAGTAGCTTCACATCTCATGTAGGTTTTTTTGGTAAAATGTCACCCAGGTATATACTTTTTATTATTTCAAACAATTATTCTCATCTTGGTCGATATAGATGTTATTATAGACACAACGTTTCAACCAAGTACCCATTGGTCACCATCAGGTGTTCATATGATATGGCTGATATGAGATGTTGATTGTTTTATTTTATCCCTGTTATGCCAGTCCTTGTTTGTGCCTGCTGAATGTTTGTGTCTACAATAACATCAACCAAGATGAAAACAGTAGTTTGAAATAATAAAAGTACATTGAGAATTACTCATGGGCCAAAAGCCACATCATGATGAAACACTGATACCCATATAATCACCAAAGTTAAGCAACAGCAATCCTGGTCAGTATCTAGATGGGTGACCACTAGAAAATACCAGGTGCTGTAAGCTTGGATGTGCAGGTGAATGAATGGATAATAATATTAAGAGAGAGTCAAGTTCCAATTTCTTTTGGGTTCATTATATTCACTTACATGCAAATACCCTTCGGAAAGATATGAATCCACTTCTCTCCCCAGTTATGGGTTTAATTAGAAACATTTATATTACTAAACAATTATTATCTAAAAAAAAAATTCTCACAATCTAAAAATATTTTCTGGCTTTAAATAACCTGCAATGGGTTGATAAGCCATAGAAAATGAAACAATAAATAAAAAACTATTATTCATCTCTGAAATTAAATACTAAAATTATGAGAAGTGGTATGAATCTGTCATGATAGCCAAATGTCAAAACTATCTGACACTGAATATAAAAGCTCCAAAAATACACTACTAATGTCCATTTTTTTTTTAGTTACTAATGGTTTAGTGATACAAGCTGGGGGAAAAGAGATGAATTCATACCTTTCTCAAGGGTATTTGCATGTAAGTGAATATAATAAATGAGAATTGGAACCCGGCTCTCTGATCAACAATTCCAAGCCATTATCCATTATAGCACCCACACATCCAAGCTTGATGGTATAATAGACACAGGAGTTCATTTTACATATGTTATTGTCATCTAGAGGATCTGTCATTGAACAGCATCACAGAGACAAAATAACATTGATCAACAGATATCCCATATCAGCTAAACAATGGACCCCTGATGATGGCCAGAGGGTACTTAGTCGAAGCGTTGTGTCTATAATAAGATCTATATCAACCAAGATGAGAACATTAGTTTGAAACAATAAAAATATATTGACAATTACTCATCCTAGAAATGAAACTCGAAATCATCTAGCCACTATCCAGATTTGCTCCCTGTGATCTCTCTATTGAAATCCCATGGATGAGATTAAAGACAATGTGACAAGGCAACTGATGTTGATCCTGAAAGAGGACATTGTTTTGCAAAATATGAAGGCAAATTGAGAGACACGAGTGAGGCTTCAAGAAAATCGATTCATTTTCTATAGCTTATCAACCTTTTGCAGGTTGTTTAAAGCCAGAATATATTTTTAGATTCTAAGAATTTTTTTTTAGGTAATAACTATTTAGTGATACAAATCTTATTAATTAACCCATAGCTGGAGGGAGAAGAGGTGAATTCATAACTTTCCAAATAGTATTTTTGCATAAGTGAATATATATCGAACACAATGGGAATAGGAACTTGGCTCTCCAATCATCAATTCCAAGCCATTATCCATTACACCACTTGGTATTCACAAGCGTCATCCATCTAGGTACTGACCAGGCTTGACAATGCTTAACTTCAATGATCATACAGGAACTGGTAATAGAGCCATAAGCCTCTCAAGAAGAGTACTTTGAAGAGAACTAAGTTGCCATCAACTATTTAAATATTTAAAAGCTGGATACTTTCCAAACAGACCTCATATTCCTCACTTTCTAATGAACTTTGTGCAGTGAATATTTGATTTTTATGATTATGACATATAATGGAAGCTCTTTTTAAGGATATCACATATTTGTTTATTTATTGATTATTTTATAACATGAATAATTATTTTTAAATGGTTGTTCTGTTTGTTTTGGGTGAAATCTTTAAACATTTTCATGAGATTCAAAACTGTCTTTTAAATTATTCGGACTGTTATCCTCATCTTCATAATGTTTCAGCTGTTGCACACTGACTTTCTTCAGGTGATTGGAAGTGAAATAATAATAATAACAAAAATTGCAATATGAGCACTGGTAAAAAAATGAACTGAGACATTAAGCTTATAAGTCCCAAAAATTCATACACAGATGTCCTCAATGACACATGGCCTAGTGGATAAAGGCAGTTAGATTCAATGACTAGACTCAAAGAGTTGTGCGTTCATTACCAGGCCATAGCAGTGGTGAACCAAAAACTGAGACATCCAGAATGTGGAACTAGAACAATCTACTCTGGTGGACAAAATAAAGGATTCAGTTCGAAATTCCAATCACCTGAAGAATGGCCGAAATGTTGTGAATATGGCAATGAAGATGAGGATAACAGTCTGAATAATGTAAATAATGCAAGTAATCATAATACCTCATCTCAGAAATATAGACAGATACCATCTTTTAAAATCTGTAGATGTTCTTTGTTTTTCTAATTTTGAAGGAGATTTTACTTTCTGTACTAACTTATGTAAAGAGAGTTACACACTTAAAGTAATAAATACACCTTTATTTTCCATGAAATAATTGAGTTTATAAAGATATGTTGAACCACAGTTAAAATTAAATGGGTACAAGGAGTTCAGAGTATTTTCCTTGATTAAAGCTCTTCATTTAAACCATTAAAGTTCAACGTAAAATCTGATATTAATCATAAACATAAGGTATTAATGTTACTAAAAAATCTGGTATTAGTTATAGATTTATGAAAATCCACTATTAATTATTGCTTTATAAAATCAACTATTAATTAGAGCTTTATAAAAATCCAGTATCAATTATAGGAATCTAATGATCCTGCATTAATTATAAGTTTTTACCTATAGTCAGCATCCCTAAATAAGGATGGTTTTCATTAATGGGTTGGGCTAAGAGCCTAAAACAGCTTGTAAATCTTTGATCCACTCCATATGTCGGAAATATTGAATCTTTTTTTTCAGTTTTTGACTAATAACAAAAATCATTTTCCTCATGGCAGTTTATAATTTATCAAAGGCCATAAAAAATTAATAACAGTAATTGTATATGCACTGAACATAATATTCATATATTTTTTAAATGTTACATTTTTCAAAGTGTAGATGATCATAGCTCTCTACAGCTTTCTTTATTATCTGTTAATTTTCCATTATTATTATTGTCCTATAAGAGTTATATTAGATATAAAATAACCAACAAGTGTTGACAGGTCATTAAATTAACCAACTTAACCTGATGCACTTCAGAACATAGGCAAGCATGGATCTCCACAGCTTCCTTTTCTTTATTATGTGTAAATTGTGATGTGTTCTTGGTAAAGACAGTAAAGTGGTTGCCTTCTCCTTGGTTTTTTAATCCAAAGTGATCATAGCTCTCCACAGCTTCCATTTCCTTATTATCTCTGAATTGCCATGACCTCTTGGAACAGATAGGAGAGATTTCTTGTTGCCTTCTTCACTTTTGTTTTAAATTCAAAGTGATCATCACTCTCCCCAGATGGTCATGGGGATTGGACATGTATGAACTGCCATGACATCTTGGGAAAGATAATGAAGTAGTTTCCCATTGTCTTCTCTACAGTTTAGGAATTTAGAGTTTTCTTTCTCTTAGATTGGTCATCATCAAGGCAAGAGAGCCCAGTCTACTCCACTATTTAACCCATATTCACTATTTTGTCTATAATTAGTATAATGATACTTGGAAAAATGGTGTTAAAAATTAACTTTGAAGCAGATTTTACTTTCTTTTCAAAAGATTATAGTTTATAGATTATGTGCTAATATTAACAGTTGGTGACAGAATGGAAAGGGAGGGGATAACAAATGAAAACGAAATCAAATAATCAGCAAATTAAATACACACAAAAACTGAAAGAAAGAAAATAAAAGAAAAAAAGAATTTATCAAAGTCCTTTATGAGGGGTGTGTTGAAAAGTTCTTGACCTGACCAAGAACCCCTACTCTCACAAAATTGCTGTTCTTTGATCAGATTCCCTGAAGTGGGTTAGCCTGAAAACTTTTCAACACTTCATATTTTAAACATTTGGACAGCAATTCTTCAGCTAAACTTGATTTTATTAAATAGACAAGGAATGTCTTTAAAGCCGTTTGGTGAGATTCTCCTGATGTCGTTTGATGGTGAGTGGAACTTGTGGCAAAACTTTCCAAAATTGTGGGTTATGTACTTTTGGCCATCATTCAACATTTGGTGGGGGGGGGAGTTCAGGTAAGTATCATATAACAGTGCAGACTAGAAAGCTTTTCTAATGTAAGATGGAGACACATGGACAAAATTTAGCCTTACACAAATTTATAAAAAATTACACAACACATCCTTATATCTGGATAATGGTGAAGAAATAGAATAGTTTTGAAATTAGAAGCAAAATTTCCTCTGAAAGCAGAAGGAATGGCTGCTGGGTCTTATGTGTGTGATTATATATAATATTTTTCTCTCCTCTGCAGATTCCCTGCTAATTCTTTATTTTTTTAAACATTGCACACACAATTTACACCTTTGTCCTCAACTGGCCCCAAAGAGTGAGGGTCAAATTCTTGTTTCATTTTTTTTTCATTGTCTTAATTCATCACTT